CCCCCCTCCCTCCCTCTCTCTCTCAGGGACTTTACATATTTTACCTTATTTAGTCCTGGGTACCAACAAGGTACTGAAGAGCTGACCCTTTTTAAAGCTTAGAAAAGCAAGACTCCGGGAGAGTAAAGAGCTTTTCCAAAGTCACATGACTTGGAAGTGTGAAGGGACAGGGACTTGAAACTAGAACTACCTGACCCTGAACCCCCAACTGGGGCATACTTCAGCACCCCCCCGCCAAATCATTGCCTCTCAGCAAAATACTGGGGAGTGTGACCACTAATGACAGCAGCCTTTAGGACTATATTCACGGTCAGTGGGTCCCATTTCCCCAAGAGAACCCAGTGTATTCACAGATCACAAATAGCCCATGTGATGTGCCTTCTTGCCAAGCTATTTCTTTTGTGATGCACTCAAGATGTTTCTTTTCTCCATCCAGCTGCTCAGAAAGTTTGCCACCTCATGGGAATCAATGTGACGGATTTCACTAGATCCATCCTCACTCCACGTATCAAGGTTGGGCGAGATGTGGTACAGAAAGCTCAGACAAAAGAACAGGTAATGATGTACCTGCCATTTACTTATCACTTACCCATCCATGCACCCATCCCTCCATCCATTCATCCATGTACCCCCCTGTTCACTCATTCATCTATTTATTAATCCATTCACCCATGGTCTGCCTCTGCATCTGTCCCATCCATCCATCTTTCTGTCCACTCATTCATCTGTCTGTTCATCTATCCATCCATCAATCCACTCATCTGCCCATCTATCTGTTCACCCATCATCTGTCCATCCATCCCTCATTCACCATCTGTCCATTCATCCATCCATGACCCAGCCATCTGTCCATCTGTCCAGCCATCCATCACCCATCCACCTGTCATTCCATTCATTCATTCATTCATTCATTCATTCATTCATCTGTCCATCCATCCACCCATCTATCTCTTTATCCCTCATTGTTTTTGTTTTTGTTTTTTTTTTGAGACGGAGTCTCGCTCTGTCGCCCAGGCTGGAGTGCAGTGGCGCAATCTCAGCTCACTGCAAGTTCCGCCTCCCAGGTTCACGCCATTCTCCTGCCTCAGCCTCCCAAGTAGCTGGGACTACAGGTGCCCGCCACCACGCCTGGCT